ACAGCTGATAGAAGCAAAACCTCCGATCTGCATATACCAATCCATGCAGCTTGCTCCAGCAACTGCCAGCGTTTCATACCTGCCCATACAAAGCTGTTTGCTTACATCTAATTTTCAGGTGCACAAGGTCTGGAGCACCCGAAAGCTTGGGTGTGCCATCTTGATATGCAAATGGACCAGCTAGGATGAGACCAGCTTGAAAACCCTGCTTAAAGCACGTACGCAAACCACAAAGCCAAGGAGAGAAATGTCCAAAAATGCAACTCTCCAACCAGTGGGTCGCAGGAGATCAGTCCCACCACCACCTGGAATGATATTAGAAGGCAACCCTGTGGAGCAAAAGTGAAATTGTTTCAAGCAGATCACTACTGCTGGAAGTGGCTAGGGAAGGTTCATAAATTGATAAGCACCACCAAAGGATCATAAGCCTCCACATCAATTGTATAAAAATCACAACAGAGCCACTCTCTGCAGTCATTCTGAAAAGGTTATGGGTTTCACAGGTGTGCACTGTCAGTTCTGATTAAGCTTAAACTAAACCAGTTATCTATAATGTTGGATTGGAAGAGTTTTATTGCCAACTGCAAGGTAAATCAAATTCACGATGCACATCTGTGGAAAAACACAGAGGGACAAAGTTTGCCATCCTGACATAAGAAAAACAACCCCTGAAACCCAGAGGAGTTTTGCTTGCATACGGCCCATGGCTTTGAGGCTTGTCAGATGTTCTCCATAGGAGTAGAAAGCCATTCCTTCCTTCAACACGGCTCCATGGCTTCTTTCCATCTGCAACTCATTGTTCGCTTTTATAACACACAGACTATTTTAAGATTATTATCTGCAGTCACTGCTAAAGAGACTCGAGTTTACTATTTATCTCATCATAAATGAAGTTAATTATACACGTATACTTTTCACTACACAGGATATAAACCAAAGCAGCTATAGCCACAAATTCACAACATAATTTTTCATCTGGGTAACTACCAGCTTTTCCATTAACCAAAACAAACATATAAGGTTCTCATCAGATATATTTCAAGCAGTGCAGAGAGGATTCTGGTTGAAATCCTCCCCCACGGAAATCATTGGTGAATCTCCTATTGGCTTCAATAGGGTCAGGATTTTATCCTCCATGCTGAAGGTACAGGGAAAAGGCAGGCAAACTTTACAGCTGATACCAGACTCATGTTCTGCAGCAGCAGAAGTACTTCATATTAATGCTGCACTTCAAAGCATGTCTATTGACTCATTGTTGTTTTAATAGATGGCAAAAGTGAATAAATGTATTTGCCTTTGCAACATCATTATTTCATTTGCATGCAATTATTTACTTGCCAAACAATACTAGCGACACATCGCAACAGAGTCTGAAGCTATCTACATCAGCAGATTTTTAACCTAAGGTAAAAATAAACAGAAACATCTGTAAAGTAATCTTGTACAAAGCTACATTTATTAACAAATACATTTTCTAATAAAACACCATCTGCAAGCAACTCTCAGCTTCCACTTGATATAAATAGGCCTTTTACTGTTTTCAGATGCAGTTCCCAGAAAATTATTCCAAGCTCTACTGCAAAACACATCAGTCTTTGTTGCTGCCTGGAATGTTAATAAATAACATCAAGTTTTTAAATAGTCAAACAAATTATTGGCTTGAAACAATTATTCCAATAGAAAAAGCTGACCTTTTGCAATAAAGTGGTTTAAGAATGTATCATTCCTCATTTCTGGTATTAAAATATTACCAAGCAGGGAAATATCATAGGGGAAACAGAAAGCTATGAAAAACCCATATTGCAACTCTGCTCATACACAGACTATAAACCTACTTTGCAATGGTTACTGCTTTATAGCAAGTCTGAATAAGAAATACATGATAAAATATAAATGTTTCAGATGGAACCCTTGCAAAACAGCTGTGCAGAAAATGTTCAGGACACAAACAGCAGCTAACTATAACTTCTAATCACAGGACTGTCGTGCTGACCAGAGACACAAAACTCAACAACTTCAGCTCTTGGTGCCAGGAATTGGAAGTGAATCCCAATGCTAAGTGCTATTGAAAAATCCATAAAGATTTAACGGGATACATTTACACAAGTGTTTCTCAGACCTTAAGCCACATTAACTCCATTAAAGTCAATGGGATTGAGAAACAAACTCTAAAAATGTACCTCTTATCATTGTCCATTCACAATCACTGGCATTAAGAAGGTCAAGGCATTTTTAGGAGTGGTTTTTTTTTTTTTTGTTTTTTGTTTTGGAGAGGAGGGCGTTCTTGGAAAGGTGCATGACAGCACTCAAGTCAGATCAACTTCTACACAGGTAGGCAAAACTTGGAACTACGAGGATGAACAAAGAGATACCAGAGTTATGTAGCCGGAAACTGTGCTGATATTCATGGATTTAAGCCACCTGAGGAGCCGGTCCTTTAATATTAATGGGAATCAACCAACGTTAGCGTTGCATGGTACAGTATTAAAGCTTCGCTTAACATAACTTACTAAGGTAGTCACAGAAATCAAAAGGGAATATGTAACTGTGCATATTCAAGGAAAGGGGTGTATTTATGGCATTATTCCGAGAAAAGGAATTGCATATTTAAGTAACAAATGCGCAGTACGATAAATACTCATGGGACACCACCAAATAAATTGCGTGAAAGTACTTACTTCACTAGCTTGAGGGAGCTTTGGTAGTTTATTCTTAGAACTGGGTACATTAGCTTTTCCTTCCAACAGCGTTCCAAATGATTGGTTTCCATATCCACTCTCAATTTCTACCGGAGGTTTAAGTTCAGGCGAGTCATTCGGTACTTGGTCCTGACCATCCATAGGTCTCACATATGCCGTGGGCTTTTGTTGGACCATGCTAGTTTTACAGTGCAGTCCTGGTGGGAAATTCTGGGTTGAAAGACCATTGGTTGCAGATAACAAGGATGTAGAAGGAAGTGGAGATCCAGGACCATGTGCTACAAATTCAAGTTCTGTTGGTGACTTTGAATGACTGTTTTCTTTATAAGTGTGTTCACTACTTGTTGACTTGGAATGATTATGCCTCCGTGAATGTGAAGATGAAGCGGCAGGGTTTGCTTCTTCAGCTCCTCCACTTTTATGCTGCTCGCTCTGACAGTTGTAGAGTTCTTCATACCGGCTTTGAGGCTGGTCATGTGAAGAGCTATGCTTTGACCTACTCTGTTGGCTACTGGCTTGGCTTGGCTGTGCAGCATTAGAGTTGTGACCACCACGTGACCAGTCTGTCCTGGATTTCCTGCTGCTCTGGTGACTGTGTAGCAAGGCAGAATTGGATGACAGGGACGAAGGAGGTGGCATTGATGTTGATGAGTGACCACTGATCTGGTGAGATGGGATCATCCTGTTTCTTTGTTCTGGAAAAAAGCTCTGTTCATTTTTATCAATGGGAGTCTGTGGTACCGAATTCTTTGGGATTCCTACAAGGTGGCTCTGGTTGGAATGGTTGGTTAACAAGTCCTTCATTTCATCATAGTTTCCCAGCGTGTTCTGGACACGGTTTGCAAGGGCATCACCTTTGTTTGTCTAAAATGACAAAAACGTAAGGAAAAGGGTGAGTGAATCCTGTGGCTGTAAAGTTTCTCCTTGGAAGAGTTGTCTTGAAAAAGATGGCAAATGTTAGCTGTTTAATGGTGTCATGCTGACATTTAATTTAATTTCAATTACATTTTGCATATGTTATGTAAGAAAAACCCATCAATAACTGTGTTCAGAGAACCTCTAGGAACAGGCTTGCAAGAGTAACAGTTGTATACTGCTTCCTGTTTTCTTAAATATGCTCTCAGAGAAATGTTTAAATTACATCAGTTATGATGTTATAGGCAACATTGCCTGACTTTATCTCTGATACAGTGGGCTTGTACATTTTATATCCTGCAAAATGTGGATGTACAATTACCGTTCAAGGAGTATTTGAATTGCGATCAAGCAGTTTATTTAAATATACTATTTGATACCATCTCCTTGACCCATAATTCTAATATACCTGGCAGCTGGCCTACAACTTCATTAACTCTGATGGACCAAAATGATCTGTGGTGTAATCTGAATTTCTTCCCCACTGAAGGTTCAGTTGGGTCCTGGCTCCCTAATAGCTGAGACCTAGAAAATGTACTTTTCTGTCTATTGAGGTACCATGCTACTAAAAGAGCCCTCCAAAGAAGTTGCATCAAGAAAGATATAAATACCGATGACTACTGAAGTTTGAAGTACCAGGATGCCTCTGTTGTTTAAGAGTGTGCTGTATATGTTTGTGAATTGGGCAGTTAATAGCAACTGGAGTTTGAAGCAAGCAAACCTGACCACTATCATTTTTTCCTTTTGAAGCACTTTTTCCTCTGCTATATATATAAAAAAACCCTACGCAAATAAGCTCAAAGGGAATAATTGATATGCGGCTAATTTTTTTCTCTTTTTGTTTAAAAAAAGTCATCTTAGACCACAGCCAACATACCAGCCCTCTTCTGGGCCTTTATGTTACACTGAAGTGACCACCATTGCATTAAACAGCCTATTCTCTGCACATGTTCATCGCTTTATAACACTCAAGGGGTAAAAACAGCGCTTTCCAAACTATGGTTTCTGTTCAAGCATATGGTAAATTTCTACAATCTGTAAGTTTCGTTTGAAGCCACAATATATGTAGCAGGATTGGATCTTTACATTTCATATCTCCCAACGTGTGCTCATACTTTATGTTAAGTCTCCCATTCTTCAAATGCCAAGAAAAAGCATGACTGATGAAAGAAACCCTACCAGTGGGTTTCTCTTGGAATATCGGCTTAAATTTCCAATGCTGAACTAGCCTAGAGATGAGAGGAATATTGCAAAAAGTTTCCTCCCCTCATTTAGTTCTTCCCATGCAGCATAAACCGTTGGAAAAGAAGATAATCAATGCAAAGTTCCTTTTGCTCACTTTCAGGGATTGTAACTTATCACTGCACTCAGGCAGTGATTTAAAAATTAACTGTTCAGTGTTCTTCTGGTCTGTATAAATTTTTCGCCAGTGCTCCTACACAGACATGGTTAATGGTTACAGTTGTGTGGGACTACGAATCACTTTTATCCACTAAGTCCCTAGGTTGGTCATTTTAGTGGCAAAAATTACATTCTAGCTAAGCCAAGAATAAGCTCTTTGTATATGAGCAGTCTCCTTCAACTGAGTTGCACAATGAGCCATTTGGGCAGCAGCCAAAACCAGGCTCTCTGTTCAACCCCCAAATTTAAAACAAGGAGATTCCATTGTGCTTAAGGGCACGGCAGGAATTACGATGCGAGCTTTAAACACTTACATACTTGTTCTGTTCCCTCCTTCCCTACCAAACATTTTAACTCCTTGCACTATAGCACATGCGAAAGGGCCACTTTTCTGACCACCGCCTTTCCTCTAAGTTTTGGTTAGTCTTTCAATTTGCATTTAACGCCCTGTCCCATAAAGCACAGGGGGAACGTAAAAATGTACTAGGAACATATTCCTGCCCCGTAACATTTTAACATCACGGCAATGCATAAAAGGGCATCTTCTCTATGCCGTTAGGGAGGGAATCAATATTTTAATTTTAGTACACAGATTTTCAATCATTTTTATCGAAGTCTCTCAGGTATTTTTCTGTACGTCATATAATGCTAAATGTCATTTCAGTTCGTATTAGCACTGTTTTATGTAAAATGCTTACATCTTCGGAATGAAAGATATGATATAAATGTTGGTATTACTATTTGCGGTTCATTTCTGAGAGTATTAGTGGGGGGAAAAATAAGCCTTTCATGAAAAGCAGAGATAATTAATATAGGAATCCTCAGTCTATTTTAAAATCTCTAAGACCCTGAAGCAATGCTTACAGAAATCAATGTAAAGATTAGAATTGACCTGAATGGATCTGGATCGGGCTTTCAGATGTATATCACTGTCATTTGACACACCCTCAATTCACATATACGGCTAAATTCTGCCTATGATGTAACCTCACTGGGGTCAAGGTGGTACATAGGTATAATCTGGGCAGAATCTACTGTTAAATCATAAAAATATCAGTATGGCTTTCTTTCTTTCTTTTTTACTAAACAGATTTAGCTTTCTTGTTAAAAGCTGAGTATTCCTGGCAAGCTTTACTACAAACACAACACAAATGAAATCCAGCTAGCCATTATATGTTACCTGCAGGATGGGGACAGGTTCTCACTTCCTGTTCTGGGTAATTGGTTGCTTTCTTAAAAGAAAACCTCTATAGTCTTTATTTTCTGAACAGCAAGCTGAATCACAGTTTCACCACCGTCAAGGGAATACATTTTCCAAGTATTTTGAGATATAAATTCATGTTCTGGCTTGTGACTCACAATAAGTGGTGTTCCCCCTCATTCTGGCCTCCCTTTAATTTAGGAAATGCACACCTTTCCTCTGTTTGGTTCTTTGCTTTGAAAATAATCGGTAATAAAATCTTATCAGAAGGCTAATCTGCTAGCTAGCTATCGCATTATCCTTCTACAAAGAAAAGAACTAATGCATTCAAACGTACGCCCAATTTACATGACTTCTTGTGATAATTTGTGGGAAACTTGAGGATTCATAATTCATTCACTGCCTCGTACCTCGATATAACTAATCTCTATGGACTCGGGGCTGAGATCTTTTATGCTAAGCTTGAACACTGTGGAGGGGTTATCCTAAAAAAAAAATAATAAAAAAATTAACATTCTGTAAAGGTTCCCTTTAGGGGATCGTCCTTTAGGGTCCCATTTCTCAAGTTGAACTCTTCTCAGGCAAAACCTTTGAAAAAGTACAGACTATTTCTCATCCAGTTCTTTTATGAGAGACTCATTATAGTGGAGTCTATTTATAAATTCAGACCATTAAAAGGCATCAACAATTAACGAGTAAAATTGCTGCCCCTGCCAGAAAAGTTCTGACATCACTCTTTCAAGTGTCTCCAGACCAGATCACCTGAGGCTGCGGTATCATCTACTCCAAATGAATCAGCAATAGCATGGGCCAGGATTTGAAGGAGACAGCTCTTAGCCTACTTCTGCCATAACTGGCAAAGGATAGCATGAGGCTCATTATCCCTGCTGTCCAAAATGGTGGTAGGTGGCACCACATATTTGAAAGCATTATTTCCTGCATGAAACCCTGGCAATCAAAAGGAGTGAAAATTCAGATATGCATGCACTTAGGTACATATACATGTGCTCAATAGATATAATGTGCATCTATCAAGAGCTTTTACAACATTATATATGTTATTGTTTTAAATAGATACGGTAGGTAGATGAGTGCACATAATAATTAGGCAGAGACTGAGACAGATACACCACCGGCATTGTGGTACCCAAGTCATGGTAAAACCCACGTGATAAATGGCAGAGCCAGAGCCAGGCAATAAACTGCAATTAAACTGACCTCTTGTTCATTAATCCACATTTCCCTTAATCTTACAAACTTTAGGGCATTCTCAAACAGCTGGCAGCTACTGGCGGGAGCTGCTTTTCCGTTTTCTCTTCCACCCACACAGAGCAGCAACCTCCATTCCAAAACCTTCACTTCTAGCTTACTGATATAGGGCATTTATACACATACTTTTCCCCCCCGCAATGCGCCGGAGACTTGCCACTTTGGAGCAGACTTGATTAATCGATGCGAGCTGAGGCGACCTATGCTGTGCTGCATGAGGTGTATACATGGCGAAATGCGTGTCAGCGCACAGAAACGGTGGCAGTGCACTTTTGAACTATAGCACCTTCTGTGTGTTTTAGTTCAAAAGCGTGCCGCTGACATGCATTTTGCCACTTATCCACCTGCAAGCGCCACAGTGGCGGCAGCTTTTCAAAGCGCCCCGCACTGCGGTGCCTACGTGTGTAAAAATGCTCATCGTGACTAGAAGATGGTAGATTTGCAAAAAAGTTTCTAGAATAGGGGACCAATGAGAAGGAAACAGATGCCTTCCATTTTCCATGATGTCTTCTCCTTACCTCCATCTCCCTCCTCTCTCTACCCTCTTCCTTCTTTCCTGGTTCTCCTGGGAATTAATAGGCTAGCTTTTCAGCTTATGATAAGAAGCATCCCTTCATTAACTAGACTGATCTGGTGATTTATAGCAGCTGAGGATATGACACCATTGCTTACAATAGAGCCATTCTACCCGTCCTTGATGGATACTTTCTCTTTCTCCTTCTTTTGCCCTTTCTTAGGCATTGCTATAGGAACAAAGTTCAGGTTAGAGAGCATGCCATGTGCTAAAGCCAGTGACACCAGAGCGAACATGGAGTAGCTTCAGATTCAGTTGCTTCAGATTTATATAGTGTCACAGAGACTGGTGTAACCTGATGAAAAAGGAAAGAAATCCTTTCACCAAAGTTTTTGCTTTCCGCGTACGTCACTGGCATATGGGTTAAATCGCTGAAGGCAACTTCAGCAAGCTCAACTGTTGACCAGTAAGTCCAAACAGAGTAACCAAAAGAGCAAATTGGGGGCCTGTGCTACCTTGCTGGAGGGAAACACAAGGCCTGACTCTTAGGCCCCCTCCACTTGT